ATAAAACCCCGGGAAATGATGGGTTAACAGTTGAATTTTATTATACTTTTTGGCCAGCTTTGGGTGATTTGTTAGTAGAAGTATTGAATGAAACATACGAAAGGGGGGAATTAACGGCATCTCAAAAACAAGGGGTAATTACCTTAATTGAGAAGGAAGCGAAAGATACTCTCCATATAAAAAATTATCGACCCATCACGCTTTTGAATGTAGATTATAAAATTGTATCTAAAGTTCTAGCAAAAAGAATGAAAGAGGTTTTAAATGAAATAATTCATCATGATCAAGTTGGATATATAAAAGATAGAAATATTGGGGAAGCTGTACGATTGATAGATGACATGTTATTTTATTCTATGCATTATGGGGAACAAGGGAAAGGGTTTTTGTGTGCAGTGGATTTTGAGAAAGCTTTCGACTCTGTATCTCATAGATATTTATTTCAAATATTGAAATTGTTCGGTTTTGGAGATTCATTTTGCTCTTGGGTAAAATTATTGTATAAAGGGATTAGTAGTTGTGTTATGAACGGTGGTCACTCCACGGGGTATTTTGAAATAGAAAGGGGAGTAAGGCAAGGGGATCCATTATCGCCATATTTGTTTTTGGTTGCCATCGAAATTTTGGCGCATGCAGTAAGGAGGGACAACGGTATTAAAGGGATTACATTTGGAAAATCTGAAATTAGGCAAGTGTTATATGCAGATGATATGACAATATTTTTGAAGGATATTGATTCGGTTAGAAGGTTGCAATATATTTTTGAATCATTTGAAAAAATTAGTGGTCTTAAAGTGAATAAAACAAAGACACATTTTATGTGGATGGGTGAGGATGAGAACAAACCTGATGGGCCTTTATTTGGAAATTTGGTTAAGGAATTACATATTTTAGGGGTTAGTTATTCATTAGATCGAAGATTAAAAGATGATTTGAATTATAAAGAAATTCTAAGTAAAATAAAAAAATTGCTTGTATGGTGGAAACAAAGAGATTTAACTATTATGGGTAAAATACATTTGCTAAAAACTTATGCGCTTTCAAAATTAAATTATATTTCATCTCTCGTTATTGTCCCTCATTGGGTATATAAAGAAGTTGCAAAAATTTCATTTGAATTCATATGGAGGGGGAAAGATAGAATTAAACGGGCAATAATGTATCAGGATTATGACTTTGGAGGATTAAGAATGATTAATTTTGAAATGTCCGTTAAAATACAGCGCATAATGTGGATAAAACGTCTTTTATATGGAGAGAAAAGTTTGGGATGGAAATTGTTTTTTGATCATTGCTTACAGTTTGTGGGTGGTAGATTTATTTTTTTATGTGATTATGATTTAAACAAGATTAAACTCGTTTTAGATATTCCACCATACTATATGGCAATGTTGCAAGCATGGCAAGAGACAAGTAATTTAAGATATTTGGAGGGTTATATTAATCCAATTATTTTTAATAATCAGAATATATGTATAAATGGAAAAAGTATATTTGATAGATACTTGTTTGAAAGAGGGATTGTTCAACTGAATCATTTGGTTGAGAAAGGTCATGTTAAGCCTGTTAAATATTTTATGAACCTCGGTATGAAAGGTAATAATTTGCTTATGATTATTGATATTTATGATGCGATACCCAGGTTATGGAAGGATGATTCAGGGTTAATAGAATTCCTCGAGGTTGATTTGATAAGCTTTAATACTTATTTCCATATTTCTAGTAAAAAAATACAGTTTGTGGATGTGGGTTCAAGAACAATCTATGATTATTTCATCAAAGCACTGCAACGAACGTATGATTTGCAGGTAAGGGATGGACAAAATGATTATGATTTTATAGATAAAGAATTAAAAGAAATATTTGCTAGACCAAGAATTACTATACTCATTAGAAAACAACGTGAATTTCAATTTAAATTATTGCATGGAGCCATATACACTAATGAGCATCTTCATAGATTTGGTTTTGTTGGTGATAATTTATGTTCGTTTTGTAAGCAGGAAATAGAAACATACAAACATTTATTTTTATCTTGTGGGAGCGTTCAAAGGTTATGGCAGGCTTTAATACAACTTTTTGAGTTAGATGAAATTAAAGATTTAGAATGGCGAGATATATTTGTTGGGTTGGTAGGTAGTTCATATAGAATAAAAATGTGTAATACTATCATTTTCATGGTGAAGTATGTTACATTTATGTCAAGATCGGGGGGGCGAGTACTAACTTTAGAAAAGATGAAAAAAAGCATTTTTAAGTATAGGGATGAGGAAAAGAAAATAGCAATTAAAATGGGAAAGCTAGGATCACATTTCTTAAAGTGGGAGCAGCTTAAGATTAATTAAGATTTGCTTTCTTCTCCACCGTGAGCTTGTTAAAAGCGTAACTTGATTTTGCGGCCTGGATAACTTATTTAGTATATTTTTCTTAAGTTGAGAATGTTGGCAGACATCCACTGAGTGAGTACTGTGTGTGTGTGTGGGGGGGGGGGGGTGGGTGGGTGGGTGAGTATGTGTGTGAGTGGGTGAGTATGTTTGTGTGATAGAGGGTGAGTATGTCTGTGTGATGGAGGGGGCAGGGAGGGGGCAGGATTTTTTCAGTAAAATTATCTCCAGATTTGTTTTTTTTTTGTAATATATAAGTAAATAACATTTACAATTGACATATTACGTTTAGGTACTTATACGTTTACTTTGTTGCTAAGTTATATTATACTGCAAATAAGTTTGTGTTTAATTATGTTTATGTAAAAGCATCAATATTGAACACGTTTATTTTATTCAATTGTATGTCATGGTTGGTATTACACATCTGGAGAAATAAAACAAAATTGTTAAAAAAAAAAAAAAAAGTATTGTGTGCGTGCGCGTGAAGGCGCAGTCCTCAATTCACCAAAGTATTGTTTGTTGATCAAGTTATGAAACTATGGCTTGTTATCATAGCAACGTTGATGCTGATAATTAGTATATTCTATTATACTGATGCATTGTGTTTTCTTCGACAAAATACTATTTTTCTTCTTAATAACAATCGCAGAGTTCGCCAGTCATAATTGAATTTATCTGAAGACTTTCCACTACTTCAATATGATTTTTATCGTCGATTTAATTCAAGAATTAAGTTCTTTTCTATTTTTCTATTCATCGTACATCAAAACACTTTAAATGAGCCTATGGATGTGTGTGTGTGTGCGCGCGTGTTTGCATCTATCTGCATTTGCCACTGAACCTCGGTTTTGGAAGACAAATGTGAATAGGCCCACCTCAAGTGTCCATAGCCATGCGTACTTGTGTACTATAAATAATGTTACGCTGTGTATGGAGAGTTTCACTCCAAAAGGGGATAAATCCACGCTTTTTATAGTAAATCAAGGATTTTCAATTTGCCACTTTCCTTTTTAAGGTATCAATTCTTTGTTATGTAAATATAAATATGGTGGGGGAATTGCATTACATAGTATTTGTAATAATCTTTTTATTTAAGTCTAAAAATCAATCCAATTTTTCATGATGTAACTTTGAGTTGAAAAATGGCCACTTAAACTTGGTTTCTGTAATTTTTAGAAAAAGAGATTTACACATTTGTTTGATATATTTGCAGTAGTTTGTTAGGATCTTTATGTACAATAGAGAAACTATGTTTATGTACAATGTGATTGAGTATAACTATATTGATTTACATTATATTATAAAGCATGATATTTCATTCTTCTTCCTTTTGGATTCTGAAATACACCCCAAAACAATTCTGTCTCTATTCTGACACATGGTTGGCATAGCTACATTATATATGTGGTTAATCCCGATCCATTATCTGATTATTTCCTACATTCAATTTTCATTATACTGTGCATGTAATAAAAATACATTAAAAGACATATATTTTACAAGCCTTGGCTTCTAAGACTTTATACACAAGCAAAATTTATTGTTTAAATGATTCATAATATTTCTTACTTTCATTCTAAATCATATTCCGCGCGCACAAAACCAGGATGTGCTCTTCACATTTCATTGATCGTATTATGTGCTGATTTGAGAAGGTAATAAATAAAAATAAATGACACAACAATCGGACTCCTTGTTGATGATGAAACAAAGAGATCGAAAGCAATTAATTGATGTTTATTGATGTTCATTTTATTTCCAATATACATAATTAGTAATACGAATTTTAAAGAGGTCGCATAAAATCATGCGTAGATATAATTTAAAAAAATACTAAAAAGGGGTGATCATAAGCAAAGCTTGAACTGACGACCTTAAATATGAAAGAGGAAGTACGACATCAATAATTCCAAGCATCATATCCATATTTAATTTCCAATCATTCTTAATATTTTCTTTTCGAAAAAATCAATTAAATGACAACTACAGCTAATTTATTTGAATGAAATGAAATGTTCATTGAATTGGCTTGCGTTGAATTAGCCTTTGGCACATCTAAATGTTATATATGATAAAGCCCGAGTCACTATTCTATCATTACTGCATTTTTTTCTTTCATTTTACGTTCCATGTAATAATAAATGTAAATGTTTTAAAAGCCTTGACTTTTTACACTTTACAATCGTGTATTTTTTATTAAATGTTTGGATGCATAATATTCTTAAATCATTTTCTAAATCATATTCCGCGAGAACAAACCAAGGGTGTGTTTATTCACATTGTATTGTTCGTATTATGTGTTGATTTAAGAAGGAGATGAATGAACAAAATGCATGGCATGAAGAGTGGACTTCTTAATGAAGTTGCAACAAAGAGATCGAAAGCAATAGCCGAAAGTGAGACGTCACTAAATCAAAGCATCAGACTTATATATAGGCCTATATACAATTTCTAATCATTCCTAATATTTTTCTTTTCGACATTTCAATTAGATTACAACTGTAGGTAGAATATTTCAATACAAGGATATGTTCACGGAATTACCTTGCGTTAAAATTGTTCTTGCCGCCCCCTCCCCCCCCCCCCCCACACACACACACCCCAACCCACCCAATGGATATGGCACTAAGTATAGTCAGAATGTAAATCGAGATAAAGAGATTAGAAATTAATATTGAAGCAAAATCCGAAAATACAAAAACGAGCGGAAGCCTTGCCCGAACGACGTCTCGTCCTGCTTGACGACATTCTCGGTTTCGACCAATAGGATTCGTCTCCGGCGCAGAGAGCGCGTATGATTGGTCCGTTGGCGTTGGTGACGTAACCAGCGGGAATTAGCCCGGTGGTCTGGTAGTTCATTTCTACATCGTCAGCGGTATTTACGTCGATCGCCTGAAAGGGTAGGAAAAAGATGACGGACAAATATATGATAGGAATACCATTTTAGTACCGTAAGGGTGAGTACTGGTACATTTTTATTGGGGGCAAAATGCGAGAGAGCAAAGCGACCGGGCGCTGGAAAGTGACTTGGTTTCGCCCTCCTGATACACTAAGGAAATCGATAATTATTTTTTAATTGCGTTCCCTTTTACTCTCAATTTTTTTTTTCTCTCCCTTTCCTTTTTTTTAATATTTTTGTCTGGATCGGCCTAATTTTGCCAATAATGACAGTCTTTACAGCATGTATCAAAATGATATACAGTGAAATAAGGGCTTGTTGTTGTTTTTTCCTCTAATACTTCGGGAATTAAATTAACTGTTACAAAATTATTTTAACATCGAATACAATAATTGCAAGGTCGTATTTTTACCTGTTCATGTCCCGTATGTCCCATTTCCATAAAGTTCGTGGATCTATCTGCCATGTCCATCATGTCCCCACTCAAGGCAGATACATAGCAAATGTTATCATCATCATCAAGAAGCTTGATAACCACAACCGACTGGTATATAATAACGAAACAAAACAAAAAGAAAAAAAGTGATGGTATATATTCAGGTAGTCGAAAGAGGTGCGAGTTGGTCGTAATATCCGTGGTACGATCAGTTCTGATACAATATATTATGTCAAATATTGTCGACGTGTAGTTTTTACAGGGAGATTTAACTGACATCTCCCTGGTTTTTATGAATGTTATATTTGCATGTATTCCTTATATTTTTGTATATCACATGTTTGTTATGTCGTCCTAGAGGGCGTATTTGGAAATCAGTTTTTTTTTAACTAAATGTACTTACCCTCCATTTCAAATAAAACTTGAATAAATAATAAATAAATAATAATAAATAGATAAATGAATAAATTCTCTGTCTTCGTCTTCAAACTGATAATCTACATAAGAGTATGACGTCCCCAGACGAATATAATCATATGAGATTTTTTTTTTTTTTTTTTTTTTTTTTTTTTTTTTAAATAGTTAATTTTTAATGATTCCAAACAATATAAATTAATTTTAGAAATAAAGTACAGTTGTTTTTCCATGACATGAATTCAAAACATTGACATTACATAAATTGTACAATTGATGAAAACAAAAAAGAAATCATTATACGTCTGTAAAACTCAAATAAAACACACACGCGCAACTCGCTCTCACACGGACTCAAATATAAATGTTCAATTGCAAATGTTTCGCACCGTTAAAATATTTCATTCCAACAAGAATCCAACACATCCACTTTAAAAACGAAAGGGCAGGACGCCATCAGCGATCTTCGGAATGATTGCAATTAATTAAATGCATGCTGTTGAGGTGGAGGACAAATGTTGATAACGATAAAGATTAATCAATCACCTCCAACCCCCCCCCCCCCACCCTTCTCCCGACACACGCCTCCCCTCTCTCTGTCTCTCTGTCTCTCTGTCTCTCTCTCTCACTCTCTCTCTCTCTATCCTTCCATCTCTCCTTCCCTCTCTCTCTCTCACTCTCTCTTTCTTCTTTGTTTCTTTCTATTTCACACGCTTTTTTTTTCTCTCTCTCTCTCTCTCTGGATATTTGTGTGCGTGAGGGTGCGTGTGTAAAGAGGAAGTGAATGTGTTTCTCGCACAAACACAAACTGATCCTATTTCTCGCATTCACTCTCTCTCTCTCTCTCTCTCCCTCTCTCTCTCTCTCCCCCCCTCTCTCTCTCTCTCTCTCTCTCTCCTTTACCATTCTATTAACCTCCTCTAGATTTCACCATCTCCATCATAGAATATAATTATCTCTATTTCTCGTTAAACCTTACCCTGTCGTAGTCGATGGCAATGGTAGCATTGGTGAATCCATCCGTGATCGCCGGAGTTTCGACCAAGATCGTGTTTTTGTCGTAGTCGTATCGTGCCCTCTGCATGCCAATCTCCGTCTCATCGTGTATGATCATGATATCCATGGTCTGCAATCAATCGAAAGTCTTTCAGGGTAACAATCCTTTGAACTATCGCCACTGGACATCACCCTCCCACCCTCTCCGGTAAGAACCACCGCCCCCCCCCCCCCCCCACAACAACAACAAAATACCCTATGATAATTATGCCCAGAACAATGTGCCCATATGACAACCAAGCACAACTTATGATAACTACCCCTAGACAACCACCCTCACAAAATTATAAGGATAACGCAGGACGAATTCCCCTTGCAATTTACCTCTTTACAAATTACACCAGGTCAACTACCGCAAGGAAAATGACCCCAACAAAAATGGATCAAATCGGTTTCTAGGTATTTTCTCCCGTTTGGGTAGGTTATAATGACTATAGTTTAAGAGGTAATGTATTTCCTAGGTGTAGTTACCCGGCTGTAATTGAAACACTTAGGTATACACACGAAATTGTACTTGCTTGTCTGAGATTTGTTAACATTGTACCCCCCCCCCCCCCCTTCCCCCTTCACATAATCCTGGATTCGCCCCTGCTCTACAAAAGGGTGCATGTGGAATGCATACACATCATGCGTTGTGTTTGTGGTGTTTAGTTTCCAGCAACAAAAATTGGGCAACAGGTATTTCAAAATCCATCGATTAGTGGCCGAGAGGGCAACAAAATATTTTAATTAGTATCAAACTTTGCTCACCACACTACTTGGCATAGCCTTTAAGGCTCCCCCTCCGTTGATGGCCATGCACGGGATTGGGCCTCTCCCGAAGTCTCCATCGGCTACGATGACAGCGGCGATGATCACCCCAACGGCGACGATGGTGGCGACGATGACCGAGGAGATGGCGTGAATTTTGGCGTGCTGATCGAAGTACGACATCATTTATTGTGAATAAAAGAGAGGTGAAAAGAAAATGGTGACAAAGGATTTTACTAAATTTCCTGGTTTGTATAGCGATTTCTCTGAACACTTTTCGGATATATCACACAGGTATATTATAACCACGGTCATCCGATTCAAGCTTGTCAGCTCACAATTTAGGAGAAGAACGGAATTTTGAAAATGGTTTGTGAAGGATCGAATCCCCAACCTTCGTATATCCATTCAAGTGACTAAACTACTCTACAACGATTCCTCAACAAAGTAGTTATTCCCCTTATCATGCTTGCCTAGTCTATTTACACGAAGAAAAGAATGTTCTTTCGCCGTGGTTATAATGAGGCGAAGCTTTCTTTTTGTTTTCTTGTTTCTTCTTCTTCTCTTCTTCTTCTTCTTCTTCTTCTTCTTCTTCTTCTTCTTCTTCTTCTTCTTCTTCTTCTTCTTCTTCTTCTTCTACACTTAATCGTTCACGCTATTATCCTTCACAAGAAATATGAACTTTTCTAAAGTCAAGGCAAACAATAAAAGTACCGGAAGCAGAAATGAAGTAAAGTAAATACAAGAATAAAAGTATTAAGTATTATTACCTCAGAGTCCATGGTCTTCTCCAGAGACGACATAAATAGAAGACGACAAGAAGTTGCCAACTGTCTGCCTTTGGATGGACCTACTTCCTACTTTGGTAGACGTGGGTTTAATTCAATACTCTTCGAGACGCAGTCCTTCCCTCAACTTTCCCTCAGCCGCTATTGCAATTTTATGCATGTCGCAAGAGATTGTCTTGGACCTATTATTAGTTAGGCTTATTTTAAGGAGGAGAATAGGCACATGACCGATATCATTAATTTAAAACCGTCGCGAAATGGAACTCGTGAGAGCAATATAAAGTCTACAATTAAAATAAATAGCTCATTGAGAGCGATAGTCGTTTGATTTATCCATTTCCTCGTCTTGCTTTCAAGAAGTTTCAAGATTAGCATTTAATTATTCTATCGAAAATAAATTTTGTGATTCGAAAGTCACATGCCACAAACTCATATCTTTGTATTCGATACTTTAGCGGTACTTAAAAAATGAATTGTCCATCGTTATCATATTTACTACATGCACTCTCATTAAAGATAAACTCCAGTTCTGGTAATGCGATTGCATTGTGAAAGAAAAGGTGTGGAATGGATCAGAAACAGTTGATCATGTAGCATGTAAGTATTGGTGTGCACTGCAAGGTTCTGGAGTCATCAAAATCATAACAAATTTGGCCGAGTCTTGGTAAAGTAACAACCACTGTACACAGAAAGCTATATATGGGACAACACACATGGTGTCGGGGGCTGGTACTACCTTGATTTCCTTGTCTTTTTATGCTCATTACTCAGCCAGTATACATTTTCTTCAAAAATTGTTTGGCACATGTCATTTATTTGTAATCTTGAACATTCAGTGTAAGTTTTGTTTGATTCTGTGAGAATTAATTTTCTTTTTTTTACCAAAACTGGAGTTTATCTTTAAACACACTCATAACATATTATTATTTTGTATCGTTAAGGTCGTTTCCTATGCGTAGCTCCTTCCCTTCCCCAATGGCAAAAGAAAAAAAAATGAAAATGAAAATTGACGGGAGAGAACCCCTCAGAGGATACGAATTAGGTGAAATAGAAAAGATGATATATATGCAACAGCGTCCCCATAATTGCTAGCCTTTGTAATTCGCAATTTGTTTATCTTGTAAGACCTGGGAAGCGCCCCCCCCCCCCCCTCCCACTAGACGTTTCAGATATGAGGAATTCTTTCATAAAACGGACAATTATTGTTCACCAACTGTGTCGAGTGGTGGAGCCAAACGTAGTCTCGGGATAACAACCGTAGATTCAAAAGAATGAAGCTTTCAAGCATTCAAGAATCAAGCTTACTCTATAATTCTCATCTTCTCTCGATTTTTTTCTCAAAAAATGAGGCACAATTATGACTGATGATTGCTTATAATGTGAATACGCTATGTTAAGTTGCAGGGTCGAGGAACCACTGAATCGACCGCGGAATATGACAAGATTGGCTTCAAAATTATTATATAAGGTACATCATGAACAATCTCGTCCTCTCTCCCCATTCTCTCCCTCTATCATCCTCCCTCCCTCCCTCCCTATATCAACCCTCTCTTTCTCCCTCCCTATCCCCCTCTCTTCTTCCTTCCCGTCCCTTCCTATCCACCCTCCCTTTCTCCCTCCCTCCCTCCCTATCTCTATGCCTTCTTCCCCTCCCCCTTTCTCTCTCTTTCTCTCTACCTCCTACTCATTTCCCTCTATTCCTCCTCCCTCTCTCTCTCTCTCTTTCTCTTTCCCTTACCTCCAACCACATGCTTATCATCCTTTCAAGCGAAGTAGAATTAAACCACAAACCACATCACTTCCTCCTGGTAAGAAAAAAAATGAACGCTACGAGATAACTTCTTTTTTCATCTCACTTGTTCGACATCTCTTTTAATCCAAGACCAAAAATAAGTGAAGTCTGTGACAGATCAAAATAATTATATAAATATTGATATACTGTACAAACATGCATTATAAAACAAAATCAATGGGTCAATTATCTTTACCCCTCTTTTTTTTCCCTTCTTGGAAGACATTGCTTAAATATAGTACTCCGCCTAGAACAAAGATGATGAATGAGAGGGTGAAAAAGGGCGTGGTCAATAAGAGAAGGTGTGAGTTATGGTATAGGGGAGGTAACCGGGAGGGAATTGGGGTGTGGCAGGAGGAATGGGCAAGTGTGGTATACATCAGCAGATAAAAAGTTGTATATGCAAGGGGACAAGGAGGAGTATAGGGGTTTGGCACAAGGAAAACTTGGGGAAGAAATGGGGGTGTGGCACGGAAAGGGGAAAGGGGAAAGATATGTGGTATTGGGGATGATATTTCATCTGCTAACAGCCAGAAGGGCGGTAACTCGACATAAAAGGGTATGGGTCGCCATTCTGGCTTTTACCTCTCATATGGCATGTTAGAGGAGCGCAGAGTGGGGCATATTGGAGACGAGGGTTTCACATTTCACATAAAGAGGGGATTTAATGTATATTTTGAGTTTGAGTTTGAGTTTGAGTTTGGGATTTAATGTATATTTTGAGTTTGAGTTTCAGTTTGAGTTTATATGGTATACAGGTAGGGATGTGAACCTTCGAGGTGGGACTGCAATCAAAACAAGTGACGTCTTGCGAAACAATTATAGAAATTAACAATAACATTGAATTCTAACAAACGTCTCTCTTTAAGTTCTGGAGTGCTTCCTATACCAAATTATTACCTAGCACAGGCCAACCTATGTTACCTAAATGAACCAACATCAGCTTAAGTATTGAAACTTCCAAGAAAATTGTTCTCTCACATAACGTAAATTAAGTTGCTCTCATCACTTGTGTCTTGCTGATGGAAACACACTTGCACACAATCTAGTCCTTGACTTTCAAATCTTTAAAGAATAGACCGGGTTACCAACATATTCAAATTTCTTTAATATTTTGTAAACAAAGGTTGTTCTTGACAACCTAAAGGCTAGCCCAAGGTTTTTTCGACAAAGCAACAAGTAATGTATGGAGACTGGAGTCGGAGTATTGTAATTCATTCATTAATAAAGGATAATGGAATATCTTGTCACTAGGTCCCCTGTAAAGAAACATCAATACGTTTGTATATGTTAGTAACCCGGTCTGTTGGCAAGCTTTGAAATAGAACAAAGAAACAAATTCAAAAGAAAAAATGTCATATCAATGGATGCAGCTACTTTGAAGTCAACATTGTTTTTTTTTCAGCTTTAGCTAAAAATCAATATTTTAGGCTTTTGCCAAAATGGGAGAAAATTCATATTATTTATCAAAATTTATATGCAGGCATTTATACTTAATCTTTTTGCTTGTATTTTTGGTAAATGCCATACCATAAGGATTTCACAGATAAATTTGCATTATCTAATGGCTAGTATGTTTCACTGGGAAATAAGGGGAAAAAATAGCGAGCTTTACATCAAATTGTGAAACAAAAATGTCACCACAAAAAAACATGTATTATGTCTATGAGGAAATAATAAATACAAAATAGATATGAATTAAACAATTTTTCATCACACACTTAGTACATATCATTTACTTAAGTTATAATTACCTGTATTTACCTCTTTAGTAAAACATAAACAATTATGTCAAAGAATACCAGGACCACTTGTATTTGAATAAGTTTAAGATCTGTCCCCAAAATTGATGTAAAAGAAAGGATTTGAATTTTCTACCACTGTATTATAATCTAACAGTGAAGTGTTTATTTTCACACTCTTGAAAAATCAAAATGTGTAAAGAATTTTTCTCTTTTCTTTTTCTGCAAAAACTAAATGTTCAGCTATTTGGTAGTTTAAATATTATTACAGTCAAACGTATATTAGCCACCACCTGTGTAGAAAAAAACATCTGACTATAAAGACACCAATGTTTGTTTCCCTTTGAATGATGCTTCTTATCGAAACATGCTATGAAGGAAACCTAGTATAAAGACCACCTGTCGATAGAGACCACTTTTTGTTTTTCTTTTGGGCGGTCTTTCGATATAACTTTGTTGTAATGACCGGGGTGCCTGCCACAAAATCGCTTGACTTGGCACCAGAGTCCAGGGCAGAGCGGGACCAACATCCGTGCAAGTCTCATGGCGGCTGAAGATGCCTCTAACGAATATAGGTTGAGTCTACTCCAGAGGCTCGCATGGTGGGGTGCAGATTTTAGAGTAAGGTAAGGCTTTTCATCATTGCAGCATACCAGTAGTGTACAAAAAAATGCAGCAACAATGACAATGGTACATGTACATGTATAGTAATACGTGGAAGTTACTGTCAAAGAAGTTAATGAAATGTGAATGAAAACTTTCTGCCACTGTAGTATTATTATGGCAAAGTTGTAAGAGCTCTAAGTGCATACATTTAAAAATTGCATGTACAAAAAAAGATATATTGTTGAAAGTAAAACATTAACAAGGCCAAAAGGATACATTAACAAAGCCAAAATATAAATTAGATTTTTCGAATTTCATATCAAGGTTTTGAGATGGAAAGAATCCAGAGGCTCAAAGGAAATTTTTGTTTGATTGGATGTTTGTTTGTTATTGTTGTTTTGTCTTGTCATACTGAATTGAACATGTGTATCATTCAAATATCATTTTTTGATGCTTGTTTTTAACTGCAAACATTAATGTTTTATAAAAATACCTTTGGAATATATCTCTTTCCCCGGAAATCCTCCCAAAACATGACTTTCTCATGACTTTAAAGAAAGAAGAAATCAATTAAGATGCAACAATTGACGGAGCGGGTGATATGAAAATAGCTTCCCATGAATTGTCAATTGCTTAGTAAATGCATTACTTTCAATTCCATTGAGTTCTCTTTTTATGAGGTTATATATATATATATATATATATAAATATCTACCATAAGTTTCAGGTGTCTATAATAGTAGGTTTGAGGAATAGGATGCAAACTAGTCTGATCCACTTGAGTCTCAAGAGCTTTCCGACAGACCATACAAAAGACCACTGTACATATTTTACTGTCTCAGTTCAGCCCGACCCTTGGTCTAAAATCACTTTAACAAAAAGCAAACTTAAAGGTAATACAAAGTTTTGGGAAATTTTGAAAATTGGATGGATAGTGATTCTTTACAATTTGGAAATATATGGATACCCCTGTGGATGTATTATAAGCACTAGAAAATTTAGCCCCTAAGACACTTCTGCTTTCGAGAAAAATTAAATATAAAAATTTATCGGTGCTCCCGGTAAAATTTCACATAGCGCCTACGGCCGTACAATGGTAGCTGCGACCATGAAAATCTCAGAATATGTAGTTGTAATATATACTTTCCAAACGGGAATAGCTAATCGGCCAATTTTAGTCAAGAAACGTTGTATTATAGCTTAATAAATATCTTGACCTTGAGAGCTATTCAACATAAAAAGTCTATTATTTACAATTTCATAAATTTAGACTCGATTTCAACTGCGACAACGATCACTGAATATTGTAGGATCGCATATGCTTCCATTATGTTCATTTGAACCTAATTCATGACCCCATACCAAAACTTTGTATTACCTTTAAGACTGCAGTTTGAAAATCAGCAAAAGGTTAATGATCACTGTCTACCAAAATTAGTCATATAATGTGTCTGAAAGTGCTTCAAAATATTGCTGAGATTGCACCAGAGTACTAAATCTAAGAACCAACAACCCCTTCAGCCAGCCCTTGATCCCCAGCCTCAGGGTTCACACTCGTTCCACATATCTGATCTTTTTTTTGGACCACCCTGCAGCAACAGGTTTAAATTTAAGTAGGATATGGACCCAAGTGTTAGTAAAGAGGCGAGCATTCGTAAGAGCCAATGAATAGTACTGTACAATTTGGAGATAGTCCTATAGACCTTGTTCACACCGGACATTGTTAATCGCTTCAAAGACGTGACATGGCAAAATATATGATTACTGAAGGACACTCCTCAGTAGTATTTGTGCATGTATTAGCTACACAGGCCCAGCTGATCATGTAATTACTTTGCACAATACCAAGGACTCGGGCATAGTGAAAACACGACTAGAAGGCCCTGTGCAGTTAAGGTGCGCACCAAAAGTACTGCGGAATGTCCTTACGCGAAGTATGCTTCACATTTCTAAATCTTAAATACAGATAGGGAGTATGCCAACTTGGAGAGGCACTTGTTCCACTCAGCGTTTTCTTGTTTTCAAGAAGAGGGGGATTTTCTGCTGTACTTTTTTAAAGGAGGTTTACAATACCAGGGGGGTGTTTCACAAAACTAGTCATCAGTGACAAATGACAGTTGTTGTTATAAGCTACTGAAATCCTTGATTCTGATTGGTTGTCAGCAGATTTGTCACTGATATTTGTCATTTGTCATTGAAAAAAGGCTTTGTGAAACGGGTCCCAGGTGTGAACAAGACTTTTAAAGAGGCTGCTAACTCCACTACCTTCTACATAATTGAATACAAAGGTTGGTATGATCGACTCTGTGACATTACAGGGGTGAAAGAAAAGCCACAGATGATGCATCGTCCAAATCGGAAAGAGAAGGTTGAGTTCTGGTAAAAGTGAAACGAATCTCTATGAGCTATCTCATTATGCTATTCCAATGTGGAATATTACCATAGCATCAATGGAACATGACAACGTTTGCTCTTCAAATGTTACATTTCAAACATGACCAGGGCCTCCTGTCTCAAAATAAATAGTCAATATTGATCGCAACTACAACTACAAAACATAGGGGACTGCAACTTGCAATTGATTGGGGCCCATGAATTGTTAACAACTTTTGAGTACATGTCATACCTTATATGTGTGTGGTACCATACACCTAAACCAATATGCTATGCTCTTCACTCCTGGTTATTTTAAGCCATTAATACCATTCTATCTTATTTTAGCGATTCCGTAACCAAAGAAAAAAAAAAACAAATTTCCATTTCCATTTCCTTTGTTTTTCAACCATTACCAATAAGTTCTTTACAGGCTCTCTCACAATGCAGTTGCCAGTACTTCACAGTCTTTATGTGAAAATATTGAGCCAATCCATGGCAAATGAGCTTTTCTTAAATACAGTCACCTTCACTATTTCAAATCAATTCAAAAAAGTGTCTAGTCTGTACTGCAAACAATTTCTGTGTAGTACTATTTAAACAACTATTCTACATTCATTCCCTGACAAGTGTGACCCTTTAAGGTCTAGGTATTTTCTCCAAATAATATAGCTTCGTCAATGTCTCAACTTTGCTGGTTTTATCTGCTTTCTCCACCTATTTCTATTTTCCCTTCATTTTCTTCTTTGTTGCCCTCAGCTTTCTCATCTTCTTTCAGAAGCTTAGAGTTTTTATTCTGCTCTACTTTACTTGGCGAAACTTCAGTGGTACTAGCCATCTCATTGTCATTCTTGCAGCCGACGCTTGTTGTTAAATCAGAGGAAATGCAACTGCCTTCCTTTTCTACATGTTTGTCTTTGGCTTTTTCGGCTTCTTTAAGCTCTGTGCAATTGTCCACATGTGTCCTTTCTTTCACTTCAATTGTCTCTGTTTTCTGGACTGCACCGTTTTCCTCTTCATTTTCGACATTATCCTGCTTTGCCTCATCGATCCTATTATTTTCTTCCAGCTTCTCTTCATCTTTGACGTCCTTTCCTTCTTTCAAATCTGTATTAAGTTTTTCTGGCTTTTTGGAATCCCTGTCCTTCTCTTCTTTCACATCCGTAATATTGTCTATTTCCCTCTTTCCTTTATCTTCTACCTGTCCAATGGTTGCTGTCTCCTTATTGCTTCCAATATCCTCATGTTCCATCTCTTTCTCCTCTTCTTCCTCTCCATCTTCCTCATATTCATCTTCTTCTTCATCTTCGTCCTCTGCCTCTGCCTGCATCTCCACCTTTTGACTTGACCTTGGTGAACCGGATCGTTTCTTCTTCTTGCCGTATGGATCCAATCTCCTCCTCCGTCTCCTTGCTTTCCTTGGAGTTCCAGAGACGGACGATTCACCACCTGCAGTCGAGACAACACCTTGCACCTCACCCTTGATCAAGTTAGCATTCTCTGTAATGGTCCCTTCAAGAGAAGCAGTATCCTTCAGAACTTCTGATGTACCCTCAGGAGTGGAAGCCTTCTTTGGGCTGTTGTTCTTGGCTTTCATTGCACCGCCAGGAATTGCAGCAGGAAGTGGTGCGGAGGCCAAAGCCGAAGAGGTAACCGTTGTACATGGTAGCGATGCAGCAGAAACTGTTACAGGCACTGCTAATGATGCTGCTGCAGCCAAGGAAACAATCAGGGATGGTACTGAGGTGGGAGCATCTTTAGGCCTGGTGGGACAGCTGGAGATGTGCTTCTTGAGGCTTCTGAGGTAGACAAACTGGCGAGCACAGTAGGCACATTGATGGTTCATGTTACGGGGAGCATAGTACGGATTAGTGTTCTTGTTAAAGAGCTTGTCCTTATTTGGACACAACTTCATATGCCTCTCCAGACCATTGATAAAGTGGAACTGTTTCCCACAGCCTAGACAGGCATGCACATCAACAATATTTGCACTGGCTCTTCTCCTGGTGTGATTGAGTGGGTTGTACATCTTGAGTCCAGGCCGAGCTCTCTTACGCTTCTGGGCCGCATCACTCTCTTCACTCTCACTGGCTTTCTGGAGGGCTCTGTTTCTGCTCCTCTTGGCAGCTTGGATCCTGATTCTCCTGGCCTTAGCATTCTTTTGCTTATTTTCCTCCAGTGTCAGCTTCTTCTTATCAGCAGCCTTGACAGGAGTCTTCACAGGGGTCTTTAGGGGTGTCTTAGGCTTCCCAGTAGATGGTGCATTAGCAGCAGCACACTCCATGATGTGTACATGCAAGTCAGCAGTACTAGAAAACACTTTGGCGCATTTGGTGCAGCGGTTGTTTGTTGCCATTTCAAAGTGGCTGATACTCTTGCCACTGGACGCACTGCCATCTGGTAGTGAACTTAAGTAACCGATCTCTCGAGCATATGCGAATGGATGATGTCTCTGAGGATTGCATGGAACATCCTTCTTTTTCTTAGATTTCTTCCGGGGTGAGGATTTGGTTTCAGGAGTTTGGGTCGAGCTGAAGCGGCCAAACTTGGAAGGACTCACCTTGCTCATTTCATGAGCGATGAGTGATATCCTTTCTCTAGGCTCTGGTAGGATGGGTGGTGTCTGTATGGCCTTTGTAGGGTCAGTGAAGTTCTGTGGTCTGATTTCCTCAGGCCCCCGCTCTGTGTAAGAACACAAATGATCTGAATGAATATCTACCTGGTGCTGCTTGAGGTTCGAAAGGTAGGCAAACTCTTGCTGGCACTCAGAGCAACAGTACATCTTGCCGACTCTGTGTAGGTCGTACCTATGAGATGCCAACATGTCCGTCGTCTCAAAGAGCTTCACACAGAACTCACACTTGTAAGGAAAGTCCTCCGCATGGGCTACGACATGCTGGGTGAGGAGCTTCATGGAATCAAAAGGAAGCTCACATACATTGCACGTGATGGCTGCATCCAGGACTGAGAACTTGGTTGGCCTCTCAAGATCTGCAGATTCCACAGGAGTGGTCAAAGTAGAGGATTTCCAACCTGTTGACTTCATGCGAGAGGTTATATTAAACCTGGTTATTGTCTTGACCTCTGGATGAGTGCTACAAGTAGGAGGGGCAGATGCTAACGGAGATTTAGGAGGTGGCCTTCGAGTAACCTTGTACTTGGGGACTTGCACCACTGGACGAGAATGGCACGACAGGTCCAAGGGTTGTGATGAATCTCCAGAGACATACATGATCGGATTCTGCTTCTGGGAGCCGTCTGTCCTAGGCTTCTTCACTCTCAGGTCCAGGACTTCAACATTGCTTGAAGAAGGTCCTGGGCTCAAGAGATCACTCTGTGGAGTGGGTGGTTTCTTAGGGACGAAGGGCTGTGGTTTCACATTGTTCTGCCAGGGACAAATTTGGTTTGGCATCTCTGTCGGATACTGCTTGCCAGTGAGGGAAGCCACTTGTTCAATTCTCTTGAAACCTTGCTTTCGTTTGGCATTCTTTCCATGTCTTAGTGCAGCATGAAGTTTGGCTCTTATTTTGCTCTGGTCACCTACCATATCTTCTCCACCTAGCTTCTTTTCTTTCATCATGCTCTGAAGAACTGCAGTTGCATGTTTCCTCCGGATCATCCTTGTCATATTGGCCATCGTCTTCATGTGGCCCTTCGTTTGTGTGGGATTCACTTTGGGCACATTTAACAAGCTTTCCTGTGTAAGAGGCTTACTAACAATCTCCGTCTTCACACTGGTTGTCGGTTCCTTCCCCTCATCACCACTACCCTCCGTCTTGCCAACATCACTCTCCCCTGATGACTTTGGTCCTGGCTTCTTCACAAGATTCATTCCATGCCTCTTCCGGAGATGCCGATGGAGGTTTGAAGAGGACACAAATTCGATACCACAGATTTTGCACGAAGCCACCTTCTTCAGCGCCCCTTTTCTGCTGGTGATGGTCCGCCTCCTCGCGAGATCCTGTTCATCAGACATTCCTTTGTCTATCCCGTCGGCACTTTCAGAGGAGCTCATCATGGAGGAGTGAACATCCTGGGCTGGACTCTTCATTACTTGAGCCTTAGAGGTCTCCGAGGCAACACCATTGGCAATTTCATTCTCTTGACTTTTTGTCTTGAGTTCCAGAGCACTTTCTTGAGCATGAACAGGAACGTTTACCTCCGATTTGCTTTCTGTAGTCGGTTCCTGAGGCTTTGATCTGTGGGTTAGCTTATGCTTTGTCAAGTCTCCACCTGTCACAAATCTCCTTGGACAATCAGAACAGAGGAACGTTTCCTTACTCTCTTCCGCTTTGTGCCTCAACAGGTGTTTCTCCCTCCATGTTGCATACATAAATGTCCTGTTGCACAAGTCACATTTGAACAGTCCCTTTTTGGTGTTCTTTGGACTTTTCTTCGCAGGCGATGAGACTGGAGGTTTCTTTGCATCCTCTTGAAGAGCCTTTCCTTCATCAACAGGTCCCTGAATTTTCTGTTCAACTTTCACCTCATTTTCAGGTTTCTTCACCTTTGCTTTCTTTCTGTTCTTGATGTCATCAGGCCCTAATCCTTTCCCCCACTTCCTTGTATTAACCCCTTCGACGGTGATTTTCTTAATGTGGTGCTTCAGCATAAGATGCAACTTGAGGCCGTTGGGGAAACGACATCTCTTGGGGCAAAACTGACAACCAAACTCTTCGCTTCCATCAGGAAAAGTCACTACGCAGTCGGGTCCAATCACTGCTGTAGTAATCCCATTTTCATCGACTGGAATCTCTAAATCTCCATCCATCGAACGCGGAGTTCCCTCTAATTTTGGTGCTTTCACAGACTTTTGTCCAACCCTTGTTCTCTTCTTTGGCGCACCACCCTGAGCCTTTAACTGGCGTTTCAATTCCGCTTTGCTCTTCTTTTTACCACCACTGCTTTTCCCCTTGTCTTTGGACTCCGTGATTGAGGTGGAGTCCACATGGCCTTCCATGGTGTCTTCAGAACTTGCCATGTAGTGGGAGGTGGCATCACTAGACGAGATGTCTGGTTCTTGGATCTGGATGTTGCTCTCTCCAACGCCACCAATGTCCACACCAGCTGTTATGGAGGAGAAATTAGCCGAGTGCTGGCTGTTGGAGGGGTAGATGGGCGAGATGAGGGGTGGTTCCGCAACCTTATCGTCCATCTCACCGTGACCCATGACCTCTAGATGGGCAGGTACCTTGGCCCTGTTCTCGGACTCAGTGGACATGCTGGTATCCAGCTGGGAGGGGACAATCTCTGATGTCTCCATTTTCTCCAAGATTGGCATCTGTCTATCAAAGCTGTCACCCTCTGTCAAAAAAAAAATAATAATCTAGAGTAAATGATGAGTCTAAATATTATACTACAGTGTCCTACCAAAGTGCCACATTAATCAATGTTTAAAGAACTGTAAAGTTTACAAACATGTAACCAACAAACATTTTGTGATACAATTTCCCAATTAGATATTCATTTTCACTGTATATTGGGCACTTGACAATATGTGAAGTAATGTCAGATTTTAAAAAGACAAGTTTTTTTCCCTCGGGGTCCTTTCACACACAAATTTAAGCAATTGATTGTAATAATTAAAAGATCCCCCATTCTTTGTGTATAACCACATGATAACTTCTTTGACCATCTAAGTACAAAGCCTCCCCCCCCCCAAAAAAAAAAATAAATAAATAAATAAATAAAATAATAATAATAATATTAGTAATAATAATGATATTAATAATAATAATAATAATAATAATAAAAAAATATTTAAAAAGTAAGTAGGTAAATAAAAAAAGGGAAATAAGTAAATACAAAAATAAGTTAATAAGAAAATTTTAAAATTTAATTAATAAATAAATAAAATGACATAAATAAACAATACAACAAAAATGGTATCCCCTCCAATAACATTTCCACCAAAAAAGGCTTTTATTTTTATTTGTCATTATCCTATATTTTTGGTTTTGTGCCCCCCCCCCCAAACCCTTTACAAATTTCTGCATCATCTCTTGAATTCATACCACTGCCCAGATAATAAGGACACAGACAATTAGCCATCTACAGCATCCAGACACCAAATTCATGGCTGATTACTCATGCAAGCAACTGCCTGTCTTAATCTATCTACCATTATCTTTGTATCATCTTTCAGTCTGGAAAACTGTATCATCTTTTTTTCCAGTTTCAAGTTCTCTTTAATCTTTCTGCTCTCTTTCAGTTGGTGGGTTAGTGACCACCAATGTGAAATTATTTCAACTGCTATAAGACATTAAAACTTTTGGAACTTCACTATTATTTTTAATCTTTTTTTGCCTAAACTTTCACTGATCTGTTTCCCCCATTTTTCTGCTTCTATTAAAATCAACTGAATATCAGGGTGGGTGTTCCCTTTAATGACCGTTCAAAGGGTGGCTGCATACACGGAATACATCTCAGCCAAGTAGCAAACACCAGTGAAAGTTGTAATTTAAAAATGTTTGGACAACTGAAATCATTTCACTGATCAAGATAAAGTAATCTTCCGTATAACACCCCAAAGGCTAGTAAAAGGATGCAATTAAAAAAATTGATGACAATTGAAATCGTTTCACTAATATCAAGATAAAATAATCTCCAGCACCCCATGCTAGGGCGTAGATCCGAGCTTGGCTTGAGCATGGAGGGGAAACAATCAGAGAATCAGCCACCCGGTGAATAAGGGGGGGGGGCCAGGGGGGAGGCGAGGAGGAGGGGGGTAGTGAGCACTAAGTTTTAAAAAAATCAAATCAAAATCAAAATCAAAATGGGGGTCAAAATGTGTGGTCCCCCTTCTTTTCTGACAAAACATGGGGGGACATTTGATATTATGTCCCCCCTAGGAAAAATTGTGGGAGTCGTGTCCCCCTGTCCCCCCCCCCCCCCCCCCCTTATTGAGGCCCTTGACACCATGTATTGATATTTTCTAAAAAATAGATCTTGAACACTGGGGCTTACCTGATTTCCCATCAGACTTTGCGCTTGTGATGCTTTCTTCTGAGGTGTTGAGGGCGCCGTCACTCTCCTCCGTCTCCTCCGTCTCCAGGGACTCCGTCGTCGTGGGGGAGAGGTTCTTATACCAGCACATTAGTTCTTCTCCCACGGCGATGGGCTGTACAGAGAACATTTTAATTGCCCTGGTCAACGATTGAAATACTGCAATGCCAATAGTTTCAACACCATAATCTTTCACAACCTGCAACTTGGCTTATTGTCAAGGATGTCCCTTACAGTAAGAAACTTAGAATTGTTAAAATTTTATGCTGAAATTAAATCGTTTTCTGCGCCTTTGTTATAATGCAGATGCTTTTATGTGATCTCTCTTTTTTCCCAAATGGGCCTTTAGTATTTGATTTAAAGTAGATTTGGCGCCTTACAAATCTCATATTATTATCATTATTATTTTATGACTCTATTAATAACTCTAGGAATCAGATCTTGATTAGTCGTATTTCTAGACAATAGGCAAAGAGAAAAGGCACATTACGACAGGTGCCCGCCCCTCCCCCCCCCCCCCCCAGGGTCAGAGCCCCATCGATGGCTGGAGCCATACTATACCACTGATAAACCAAGCATTCATATAATCTCCCCAGATTTCAAACAAATGACCTACCCTTAGCGTTCTGTAGTAGATGCTCCTCTTGTACTGTGTGGCAATCATGTTCTGTTCTTCAAAGCTCCGCGCACTCTTTACATATCTCATCCAGTTTGCTTTAGTCGGTTCCGAGGCATCGACACTGTAAAGCCTTACTCCTTTGGGCCCTCGGATCTGAGAGATGAAAATAAGAGAAAAGAAAATGGCATCATCAACATCGTAACGTTTTATAATTTGGAAGAATTCACAATATTGAAGCAAATAAAATTATTCTGAATTTGAATGCAAATAATAACGAAAAGAAATTAAAGCGGATAGCAAACCCACTATCCCTCTGGCTGGAACGAGGGCCTAGATCAGCATCTAAACTAATACTAATTTGGTCTCTTCACCATGCATCTAGAAGAAATATAACACCACATTATTTCCATTTTACTTTGATTCTGACTTTTTATTTTGACTCGGGGTATTTAACTTTATATTATTGAAGATTTCACATCTTTTCTCTGACCCGATAAGCTGGAACACCCCCCCCCCCCAACAACTGCCTCCCTCAAAAGCTGGACCCGTGCAAGCTACACTATTATTCAAGGGGTATATACAGGATCCAGGGTGGTTGGGTTCAGCTATCCAGAGGCAGGCCTCCACACTAACGTTTTTGAAAGGGGGTCCATTGAACTTTTTACAGTTTGTATACATGCTCAAGCCCTAGGTAAGAACTAATAAGTTTGCAGGTGTCCGAAATTAGAATTTAGGTGCCCAGGTGTCCCGGCGCCTGTCCATGTCGAGCCCGGCCTCAGGGTACCATTAGTTATGCTGGGGATGGTTTCACAAAGACTAAGATCGACTTTAAGTTGGAATTAACTATGGCAGGCTGTTCATGCCACTGTTTGCTCTCACCATTATGATCTTTAGATAATATTTTTTCCTTCAGTAATGAATTATCAATAAATGTAAATTCTGTAGATTTGTGACCATGATTTTTACGTCCCTTGAGAGACCAATGCCAGTAAATGGTGTGAGCAAACAGTCGCATGAACGGCCTGTCATAGTTAAGTCCAACTTAAAGTCAATCTTAGTCTTTGTGAAACACCCCCCTGGAATCCTAGGAACATAATCCTTGGATGAGGTTTTCATCAAGTCACCTTCCACAAGGAAGTGTCTGAAGAGGAAAGTGGGTACTTGACAAAGGGGACTCTTCCCTACAAGTGGATTTGCTAGAGGTTCATGGGGATATTTCATCATATCATTTTACACCAAGTTTACAACCCTTGTGGCTACAAGCAGAATGTTTGTCGTGGGGCCCGTTTCACGAAGCCTTTTATCAATGACAAATGACAAAAATCAGTGACAAATCTGCTGATAATCAATCAGAAGCAAGGATTTCAGTAGCTTATAACAAAAAACTGTCATTTGTCACTGATGACAAGTTTTGTGAAACGCCCCCCTGTCCATAAGATCCTTGGTACAAGGTGTCCATCAACTCACCTCCCATGAATAAGTATCGTCCAATACATCACTGCAGTCTCTCCTCTCACCGATGAAGGGCCCAAACGTTCGCCCCTTCCTCACCGACCTTTTGGCCCAAACTCCTATTGTTAGAAAAGGAAGAAAAGTGAAAATAAATGTACATTGGCATACATCTAACTATGAAAACACAACTGTGTGGCAATGCATGATGTATGATCAAGAAAAATACATTTTCTTGAGGGAAAAAATGCATATTCTTCACTAACTTAATTCTCATAAGTTAAGCAAAAGTTTTAAGAGAGAAATCAAAGAGAAAAATGGGATGAACTGGCCAGTAAAGGTGTGAAAATAATCTGACAAAAGAAAGAGAATTATGATTTGTTTTTTCTTCTCAACTTTGAAGATCATTGCACAAATTAACAATCCTATGATTTCCTTTCTGAGCTGGAGTACTCTCCATTGTTTTTACCACTTTTTTTCCAAAGAATATTGTTCTAAAATCTACCCCAGCATGTACATGTATACCTCGAAACATCTTTTCCGAGGTAGATGCACATCTACACCTTGGATGATCTGAAACATGGAGAAATTGTTACCGGGGCTAAGGTTGGATGATCATCGAGTACTCACCAATTGTTCCATTTTGGACTGTCTGAACTCCAGGCCTGATGGAGCCTTGATGCATTCCCGTACAACCTCTCAACATGGTGGCTACTTGCTAGGTTTGGCCTCAACTCAGAACACCGCTATACCTTACCGTAATCCTAACCCTTAATTACCTTAAACCTGAACCTAAAAACCCACTTTCAACACTCAGCCTAACCCCTACTCTAAGCAAAATGAAACCTGGAGCAAAGCAGAGCAAATGATGGCTGCTAGATCACCAGCTACTGTACGCTTCCACTAGAGAAAATCCTATCTCACCATAGGCATACCCGCTATTCATAAGGACCGCTATCCATAATGCGAGACTAAATGAATAGCAGTCTTTCATAAATAGCAGTCCTTTTGAATGGCGAGCAGACCCCAGTGCAATTGCCACTGGACGAAAGGTTGGATCACCAACTACTTACCAACTAGAGTTGGTTCCATCTGTGACTGTCTGAACTCCAGGCCCGACGGAGCCTTGATGCCTTCTGCTACAACCTCCAACATGGTGGCTCCTTGCTAGGTTTGGCCTCAACTCAGATCATCCTCATCAATCTTTGAAGAAGAAAAACAGTTTGTTTAAGAAAACGTCATGAATCAATAGAAACAAACTTGATTTGGTCAATGACAATGGATTCAGAAACCTTCTATATTAAGACATGATGTGTCTCTGTTTGAATATCCCCCGAAAAGGATAAACAGATAATGGTTTTTTTCACTTTTACAAATGCGTACCATTTTAACCCATGTTTTGTTGTATGGGTATTTACTCCTTCCCATAAGAACTTCAACAATGTGGCTGCTACAGCGTCTGTCTTCAACTTAGGACATCTCAGCTAAATTGTTGTAATGCAAACATCATCACTTCAAAGACACATTACATTGATTTTGTCAATGGCAAACGATTATTAGAAACCAAACTAAAAAGCTGGCCCCGGCGGCCACTCAAAATGAAAATCAATTTCTTTTTTCACAAAACAACCTGGCTAAAGAGTGGGTTTCCATTCATTAGCAAATGTTATTAGTCCTCTGTTTGAAGTGAGTCTCAGACCAGCAACCCCAAATCCACCAATGATAACTATTTTTACCAAATTAAATGTTACACGAAGCGATGTAGGGCAATAATTGTTATAGTTCCATAAAGACAATATACATGTAGGTTTAATATACAATTCAGTCCTTTAAAAAAAATGTCCAACTAAGGTCAGTATTTAAAAGCCACAAAGAGAGCAATCGCATTTTTTCCCCCTCCGGTATGCATCTCTGAAACCACATAACTAATTCACATGCGCAAAATGTCTGCAAAATAAATCAGACACCAAGAGATCAAAATACACTTTTAATGACAAAAACATATATTTCTTAAAGCGTACCAGTACATATCAAACCCAAATACACAGGCGCGTACGCAGGGGGGGGGTTTGGGGGGTTAAACCCCCCCTTTGGAAAATTTTTGTGTGTAAACCCCCCTAAAAAAAACCTAAAACCCCCCCCTTTTGGATTTTTTTTTTTTTTTTTTTTTTTTTTTTTTTTTTAATTATTAAAAAAAAAAAAAAAAAAAAAAAAATTATTCCCATGGCCGACCTAAAAAAGGTGACCTTACCCCCCCCCCAACGGAGCAAAATGTCAAATTTCCAAATTTCGAGACCAAAAAAAAAAAAAAAAAAGTGTCCTCTTACCCCCCCCCCCCCCCCCCCCCCCCCCCCCCCCCCCCCCCGCTTATTCAGCGGTCGGCTGAGTCGTTGCGATTTTTTTGGGACCAAAAAAAAAAAAAATGTGTCCTCTTACCACCCCCCCCCCCCGCTTATTCAGCGGCTGGCTGAGTCGTTGCGAAATTTTCGGACCGATTTATAAATGTTAAAACCCCCCCCCTTGAAAAAATCCTGCGTACGCGCCTGCAAATACATGTACTGTCATATGACAGTGTTTTGACGGGAGCAGATACATGTAATTAAAAAAAAACAGATTCATGAGTGAAACTTTGAGAAAAATCAGGAACAAAAAAGTCAGCTTCAATCTTTCAAAGTTGAGACCACAAACGATAGGGAGGACCATATCTATCCATTGGTAATTTGATAATGATGCATGATATCAGGCATGAAATATACATGTACTGTAATGAACATGTAATGTACATGCACATTTTATCAATTTATTGCCAGGGTAGAAAGCCATAATAAATATGATCCAGGGTGGTCCACAGACTCCACACACAAAAATCAATCACATTTAAACATTAAAATTGAAACTTGGAAGGTGTACATTGTTTGACATGATGTGTGCGAACTGCAAAGCGCATGTCTCTTGTTGCAATGGTCCAGGGTCCACTTTAAAGCCCCTCTGCACTACTTATACATGTAGATACAGTGTACTTGCGCCTTCTACAGCAAACAATGCCTAATCGGTGCCTGTTGGTCCCCCATGATTCCCATTTTCTTATGTAAATTGAGAGCTGATTTGATGAGATTACCACCTGTCAGTAACCATGCTTGGAGGTCTAATCCCTCCTGGCCAAACTAGTGCAGACAGGCTTTAAGGGCTCAAGAGCTTCCTATGATGCTCTCTGTTGCAATATCTGAGCCATATTTTATCCAAAGCATATACAAACCAATTTTATGACAAATGTTTTGGAACCAATTTATCTAGAGAATAACATTCAAAATGTCACTGATTTTTAAACCTGTGATGTCAAAATTCAAACCTGTGTCTGTTGCATGTTCAAATACCTTGTAGAAAACATTGTGATACTCGATCATGCATCAGAAGAAAAGGGTTTGTTGAATTGAGAAAGACATTTGAATCATTCTAGTAAACACAACATTTCTTTAAATTCTTTTCATAATTTCCATACACTCAATTGTAATCTTTGAAGGCTCCATTAAGCTGATAGATTTGAGCGAGGTTTGCGGTTACACCACGTATCCTTTCGACAGGGTTAGTTTCATACACTTGTTTTCCTTTTTGTTCTGCTTCAATCCATGCAAAAATTAAAGATGTATGACGGTTTTAAAGGGATTGGGTATCTTTGTCTCAGATTCTTAACAAAATCCTGAAATTAGATTAGCTCATGCATGCTGCAATCATAATTATAAACCTTTAGGTCAGTCAGGAATCCCATGACGTTTACAAGCCGATCGCCCGTCTGATTATTAAGATATTTCTGATTGGAATTCGAAATTTCAAAAACAGTTTTCCTAACAGTTTTTATAACACTACAGTCTAGTGGGGGAAATGAGAATGGTAAAATCAGTCCATCAAAGATTTTTACTTTTTTGAGGCGCTTCATGATCATTTTCAAGCAAATTTGTTTAGGGCTTCAATATTACACCAAATCACAGACGCTGATAACACGTAGGGCCATGCATCTCAGATTTGGCATTGTCAAACAACGCCTTTAATCTTCTTTAAATAACTCTGGGCAGGATGCCAATAAATAAGAATACAACGTAAATGGACTTGCTGTAAAATAGACCAGAATGTGTTGATTTTTAATGTATTGAACTTCATGTACAATCTGATAGTGCAATGTTTTGACTACTCTTCGCTTTGCTGAACATGCCTAAACTTTTGGCACAAAACTTACACAATGGACTGAGTCAATGAAGTCATTTGGATTTAAAAAGGGGGAGCACTGCTGGCCTGGCCTGTGCCTCCACCCCCCCCCCCCCTCCAAAAACACACTTAAGTGACCTAACATAACAGACAATCTTTTTTACACAAAGCTATTTTAGTCCAATATACAGTATAGTATACCAATATTAAAGTTCTAGTTTACTTTAGATGATTATGAGAAATAGATATATGGACTTAGAGAGTTTCCATGCAACGAATTTTAAAGTAAATATTTTTGTTTACATACAAAGATTTTATTACATACAGCTATTTTAATTGGCCATGCAGTTTAAACACATACATGTACCAGGTACTACTTGTCAACACTTCATGTAGAGTATAGGAGATTCAATAAGTTAAATGAACTGTGATGTTTTCCTGAAGTGAAAAACAATTCCAATTAATTGCTCTTGTACAGTATGAGGGAAAACACACACACACACACATCTCACCATCTCTATCAAAGATGTTTGATTTATGATCGACTGAATGACCTCCTGAACTTCATCCTAGTTTCAGGTTATTAAATCAAGCAGGAAATAATGTTTGAGACTAGTCACTCTCCATCATAGTGTAATTTCCTCTTCACTTCCAAAACATGGAAGTGTTGGAAGAGGAAGTATGTTGAACAATATGCATCAAGGATCGAAGGAGTGTAATTTCACCCTTTCCTATTATCATTATCATTGTTATTATTACTTTATTGTTTTTGTTCACATTTGAGCTGTGTGTTTTTCAATATTTTTTTTTTGTAAAATTGAGATGTCCTCACACCCTCCCAATGATTTTTGTGTACAGTATTTATATGTACTGTACATGTACAAGTACATATACATGTGATGTACAAGAGCGCTTAAAAAAAAATTCCAATCATATTTGGGAGTTTGCAACTTTGCTTTTAAAGGTTCAACTTTCCTATTTCTTGCCAATGGCATAAAATGGACTTTCAATATTGATGTGCTCCTGTTTTCAACAAATTGAAAATATATCCTTAAAATACAAATGTCACTTTACAGTACAAATCATACTCACTAAAAATTAAGTTGTTGATCAATTACACAAAGAAATACCCAGTTATATTTTGACATACTGGACTTATATTTAACTATTGAACAGCAAGAAAATATATACATATGTACATGTATTAAATATAAAATATAAACAAACAGGAGCACATGTACATACATGTATAGAAATTTTGCTCTGAAACATTCAAATGAGGCTCAAACTGGAAGGCTTTCAGAAAAAAAAATAAGGAATTAGAAGACAAATGCCCCACATGAATTCTTGCTCTTGGACTCAGAAAAGCAGAAAAGAGATCATACAGTATGCCAACATAAAATTCATCTCAATTGTTCAAGCATACTTATATACATGTACAACATGTACACTGTAGGAGCCAGTTGTACCCGATAAGCTTAACTGTTCATTAAGGCTGTATCAGCTGCAAGTCCTGTGATCATAATTACACATTACAAGCACAATATTGATCAATTCTGTGACTATTGTTGGTTTTAAATCACACGCACCTTCCAAGCTGCAAGCCTGCGACTGACCTACAAAATAATAATCATGGATATTAGCCACAAATGCTACAGCGATTAGAGTTATGATTTATATGGATTGATTTCATTGGAGGTCACAAGAAGTGTATCGCTCTCACCCACTGCCAGCTCCCCGTGACAACGACAGAGGATGTGTCTAAAAATAAAAGCCGGGAGTGCATGCCCTTTAGATAGTAGCAGTCAGACAACTTTGGGATTCATCCAGAATCTTGGCCGGCTCATCATAGCACTCACAGTCACAGATTAAGCTCACACAGATGACTTCACACATAGTATACAGTATCAATCATTGGAAGAGTGGTGTCATCTCTTTGAGTGATTAAGATTGGTAGGCCTGTCGTTTACAATCGTGATCATGATTATGACCATGCACATGTA